TGAGGACAGGCTCTGTGGGAGCCTCCACATGACAGCCCTCCCAGGACAAGAGCAGGCACTCAGGAGGCGCCCAGCGAGAATTAGCTGATGAATAAATGCTTGCTCCTGTGGTCACCCGAGCTGAGGAGAAACACACCCAGCTTCCAGGCCATCTCCTGCCTCCAAAGCAAGGGCAGGGCAGAGGGGGCAGGCCGCCACCCCCGGGAGAGGGGCACCGCTTACCTCCAGAAGCTGCGCAGCATTGGGCCGGGTCTCTGGGTTCTTATCTAGGGCCACCTTCAGGAAGTCTCGGAACTCCACAGACCTGGGGGGGTGGGGGTAGGGGGCGCCCACCGGTGGCAGCAGTCAGCTCCAAGTAGGGCAGAAACTGAGAAAATTCTCCCCGTCGCACACTCTACTCTCCTGGGAGTTGTGTGCTTCCCAAACACAGCCCTCAAAGACAAAGGCGCCTTCATGAGCTAAAGCGGTGAAGGCTACGGGGTTTTCACGATGACCTTTTCATTGTGAACATCACTGTACAGACGGGATGTGGAAATCAGAGAGCAGGGACTTGCCCAAGGCCACACGGTAATACACAGAAGTGCAGGGACTTATTCCCGAGCCTCGGTTCCCAGCCCAGGGTCGTGCCATGTGGCTGCTGGGGCTCATTTAGGCACTTACTCCCACAGCGGGATCTGGCTTATGGGATCACCCAGTCTGCTTTGATGGACAATCCATGTCCAGAGCGCGTGGAGGGCCCGGGTAGCTCAGAAAGGCCCAGAGACCTCGAGGCCCCAACTGCTCCCCCACTCTGGGCACTCCACCCACCCAATCCCACCTGCCCTGTGACCCAGGGCTGCTGGCCATGCAACAAACACCCTCAGGCAGGCAGGCCTTGCTCCTTACCACTTAGAAGGCGTGAGCAGAGTGGGGGGATCCGACTTGGCAATCTTGAGCAGGACCCGCATGGGGTTGAGCTCATGGTGCGGGGGTTCGATCTGGGCCATCTCAATCAGAGTGATGCCCAGGGACCAGATGTCAGCTTTGTAGTCATACGGGGTGTCCTTCATGGTCTCACACATCACCACCTCGGGGGCCATCCTGAACCAACCAAGGGATAACACAGGGCTAAGAACCTGGCCTTCATAGGCCCTTCTCAGAGACTCGGGGTCAGGACCACCACAAGCCAGTGTCAGAGAGCTGGCAGCACTCCTGAATCACGATTTGCATTGCTGTCCATCCCACTGTCTTCCTTACGATGGTCTTCACTCAGTAAGATGCCTTCAAGGAGCTCCAACGCCATGTCCCGCTGCAGTTCCCGAAGCCTACCACAAGATGGCAGCAACAATCCAGAACACAGAGTCCTGGGGAAGGGGTGGGTAGAGGCAGAGGGGAAGGTGCCCAGAAAAAACTGGGGGCACAAGGTGGGGGGTGTGGAAAGAATACACCAGCACAGACAGAACGGATGGGAGATAACAGGAGAAAGAGGAATGAAGGGCAGAGAGAGAGAAAGAAAGGGTGAGTAATAAGCAAGCAAGAAAGGAGCCTAACTCCACAATGAGAAGTAATGCACATGAAAAACAGAAAGCAGTTAGGTGTGAAACTGAGAGAGGTTTTTTGTTTGGTTTGGTTTTTTTTATTTTGTTGCCTTTTTTTTTTTTTTTTTTTTTTTTTAAGTAATAGTTTGGGGAAAGAAGGAAACACAATGGCCTAGAGAAGCCCAGAGAAACTTCACAGGAGGGTAGGAATTGAACTTGTTCATCCTCACAGTCCCAGCCCAGGGCCTCACATTCAATCTGTACTTGTTGAATTAATTAAGAATTAAACCATTTTCAGGGCATCTGGGTGGCTCAGTCAGTTAAGCACCCCACTCTTGATTTCAACTAAGGTCATGATCTCACAGTTCATGGGTTCAAGCCCCACATCGAGCTTTGTGCTGACAGCACGCAGAGCCTGCTTGGAATTCTCTCTCTCCTCTCTCTCTGCCACTCCCCCCCTCACACATGCACTTTCTCTCTCTCTCAAAATAAATAAACTTAAAAAAAAAAAAAAAGAATTAAACCATTTTCTAGGGGTTCCCGTTGAGGTGTCCCTAATGGAGTATTTTCTATACGCATCATCGCATTTCATCCTCTCAACAACCTGTGAAGTAGGTGCTGTTCTATCCCTGATTTCATAGAGGAGGAAACGGAGGGACAAGGAAGCTAAGCAACTTGGCCAACGTCACAGCACTCGTGAGTGGTGGAGACCAGGCTCAGACCCAGCAGGCTGACTCAGGAGCCCTTGACGCGGCCAGAGGTCACCTTGGGGAGTCTGAGGTTGAGCCTTCAGTCTACCATTCCCTTTCCAGAAACTGCACAACTCACCAGTAAGGCGTTCCTATGAAGGAATCTCGTTTCTGCAGAGTTTTCAGATTCTTGGCAGACACACCAAAGTCAGCTGCAAGACAAAAATCAGATACAGTATTTGATGGACATTCCTCCACCCACAGTGCTGGGGTGTGAACTCAAGAGACAGACGTTCCAAGTCAATTAACAGATGCCATTTCCTATCTAGCAAATTTTTGATCATTAAAAATATATCTACTGCTGGAAGGATATATTGAGACATGCAATTTCCTTCTTGCTAATAACGGTATAAATTGAAGAGCCTTTCAGAAAAGTAGTGGGGCAATAAATTCCAAGAAACTTTAAAATATCTATACACTCTTCTGATGCAGTAATCCCAAACCTAGATATTTACCCTAATGAAATCTCAAATATAAAAAAATTATGCAGAACGATGTTCATCCAAGTGCTATTGTAATAGTGACAAATTAAAAAGAACCATAATTATTTAGCTTTCAGAGAGTGATTTTAGCCAGAAATAATTGTGCCTTGGTCAAAGCTCACTGGCTATGATACTGTCTCTGCACAAAGCTGAGGGAGTGACTTTAAAACTTCGATACTGTCTCTGCACAAAGCTGAGGGAGTGACTTTAAAACTTCTTATGTAAGAAATAAAGAAAATAAAACTTCTCATATACTATATTGTCTTCTCCAAAAAGGACTTATGATGGCATATCAAACACACACACACACACACACACACACACACACACACACACACACACA